GGCATTATGATTAGCACACATAACATGGGCGGGTCACGGGGAAGGCAGTACAGCACAGAGAAGGCAAGTAGTGATTCTAAAGCATCTTACTACGCTGATGGACAGTGACTTACGGGGTACGTGGTGGGGACTTGATAATGGGGGAATGTAGTAACCACAATGCTCCTCATGTGAAACCTGAGCATTAAATTGTATATAAATGATACCATAATAAAAAAAAATTACATCCAAGTAACCACCACCCAGATGCAGGTATAGAGCATTTCCACCCACCCAGAAAGTTCCGTCCTGCCCTTTTCCAGTCAGGCCCCTCCAGGGGCAATGGTAGATCTGATTTCTGTCACCATCCTTTAGTAGTGCCTGTTCTTGGACTTCATATAAATGACATTTACAGCATGTTTTCTCTTGTGTCTGGATTATTGTCCTCAGCATCATGTCTGTCATCCTGTTGTTGTGTGTATTGGTACCCTGCTCTTTTTCACTGCTATGTTGTATTCCATTGTGTGACTATAACACAGTCTATCCATTCTGTTGATGGATATTCGGGTTGTTTCCACTTTGGGAGCTTCTAGGAAAAGGAACATTCCAGTAATGTCTTCTAGTGATACACGTATGTTGGGTTAAGCCAAGGAGTGGAATTTTTCATTGTGGGATAGCCTGTGTTTCACTTTAATAGAAAGAGCCACAACCTTTCCAAAGCTCTTGTGTCATTCTGCATTCCCCCAGTGTATGAAAGTTCCAGCTGCTCCACATTATCTCCAACACTTGGTATTGTCAGTCTTTTGAATTTTAGCCATTTGGGTTGGGCAGCTATACCACTTCCATTGAGGCAGCCTCAACATAACCCAGGAATGAGAGTCAGAGGAGGGCCTGGGGTCAGACCCTACCTGCCTCCCAGCATGAGTATGAGTGTGGGCATGCCCACTGTACTGTGCATGAGCACCTGAATTGGGGGAGGCAAGCAGAGAGCACAATCATGTGTGCCACACGTTACTTGTGCTGCCCAGGAAAGAGCCTAATCTTGGTAGGGATTGAGCGAGCGTGGACCTCCCCTAGGGAGGCTGCAGAAACTACATCATTCATTGGGTGCTGGGTAAGAAATACTCCCATAGACACATGGGCAATCGGAGGCCTAGAAAGGGCAGGATTGTCCTTGAGGTCACACAGCATGGATATAACCCAGGTTTCTGATTGTGTATGCTGAGGCCTTCCTACCCTCCCAGTTCCATTTCCTCTGGGGGTCCAAGAGGCAGGACGGATGCCTCAGACTGGAGGAACCACAGGGTCAGGGCCCATTTCCCACTATCTTTTCAGGTGTCTCTTTATTTCCTGCCATCCCCCTAATTCAGGGCCCATCTGCCATAGGCCCCTTCTCCCCCCATCTCCCACCACCCCTGTCTCAGGGATCCTGCCATCTCACACTGTCTCTGCCTCAGGCCCCCCTCTCCCACAGTGTTTCAAGGGGCATGTCTCCCACATTTCCCCTGCCCCATCTCCCAAAATCAAAGCTCCCCCCACTCCTGCTCAGAGGGCCCCTCTCCACTGTCCATGACCCATGCTCTTCGGCACCTCTGGGCCCTTCACCCATTATGGCCTCTACTCACAACAAGTACTGGTGGGCTATGGAATGAAATCGCTCTCATTGAACCCCTATAAGGAAACCCAAGAGATCATAACTAAAGTCAACCCTCAGTTTCCCAAGTTGGGCCGTGGGAGGAGGCAGCTGGACCTCTGCCCCTCAAGACTCACCTTCCTCTTGGGGGTTCTCCTGGCCGCCTCTGCCCCCATCACTTTGAACTCAGGGGCTGCTCCCCCACTATGCTCTGGGCTAATAGTGTGTTCACAGCCCCTCTGGTTTCCTGAAGCCAAGCTGGACCCAAGTGGGAAACAAGATTCTACAGGAAGCCTGGGGCTGGCAAAGGGGAAATAACCAATAACCGTCCAATCTGATCTTCAAAGTACGGCCCATTCCACTTGGGCTTGGGGCCCCTCTCCTCCCTGCCTGCCGCTCACCAGCCCCGTGGAGCCTCATGGGTCCCTCCTGCAGGACTCAAAGCCCACACCCAAAGGGATGCAGACCTCGGAGGACAGCGCTGTGGTTAGCAGTGTCAAGGTTAGCAGTGTCGACTGAAATCAACACGGCTATCCTATCAAGAAAGATGGAGTTTATTCAGTCTTACTGAGGACCATGACCCAAAAACCATTAATCAGACAGAGTTCTGATCAGACTGTTCTGCTGGCCTTCTGTCTAAGAACAGCTTACACACCTTTTACAACAGGGACCGCATCAATCAGCACGTCAGAGCCGTGTGCCGGGGGTACATTTGCTCAGGGTCTTAAAAGAACAGATCATGCCCTTCAGTGCTGTATGTGAGGGGATGCAAGACTTAGGGCTGTTACACATTCTCCTAAAGAATTATATCCAGGACGTGAGGACCAGGCTCCCGCTCAGGCTTGCCCTCTTTGAGCACTCCAGGCAGTTTCTCTTCTTGGCCGTGGGTGAGGGGCTGCGGCAGTCTGGCTGACACAGGCGAGACTGGCTGTATGGTATCCACACAGCCCAGCATGGCATCCTGGCTGACTTGGGGCCTCTGCAGCCTGCACAGCTCTCCTTGCCTGTGGGACCACAGGGGGACCATAAAAATTTCATTTAGTTCACAAATTCCTCCTTATGGCCAGTTAACAACCCTCAGTTGCGTATCATGACCATAATGCGTTGCTACCGTCAGGGATGCTGCTGCTGAGTGGGTGTTCTCCTCTTGAACTCCTTTCCTTCCTTAACTTATTTATCAGACTATGCTTTCCAAAGCATTTCTCACTTTCTAGCTCTTTCCCACAATTGCCTTCTCCGGTACCCAGCACAGTACCTGGGTGCTACAGTAAAAGTATAGTTGGGATCGCAGTAGTGGTTACACTTTGAACAATGTCTATGTGTGTGCAGGAACCAAAGGGGCAAGAAAACCATCCAATAAAGCCTGAGCAAACATCAGCATATTCCCGTATCAATTTGACTGTCCTTTTTCCCGCTTCTCTGCAGTCACTTGTGTCTGGGGTAAGTTTTGTCAGACTGGCGCACGCCTCCTTTACTCCCCGAGAGGCCATGTCCAGTTTTTCCTCAGGCCAGTCATCTTCTGTTATTTTTTACCTCGGCTGGAGGTTTTAATTTGAGTTCCCAGGAAGCATAATTGTCCTCAGCAGTATTATCATTATAAGTTCTACTAACCTCAGCTAAGTATATTTTCCCTATAATTGTTGTATCACACCATAGATAGGAAGTTGTTTATTTTAAATTCAGTTTGTCTGCAATAGTGATTGGATAATGGACAGCCTGATTCTCAATTCCTTCCCGACAAAACTGTCCCCTTCCCCTGTACCATATGTTGTTTTGTGTAGGCGTTTTTACCATGGGCCAAGCTAAGGTTATCTAGGGAACCCAGTGCTCTTGAGGGTGCCATCAATTTCCTTTGTGCTGTTCCACTTTAGGACTGAGATGGGGTCCCAGGGAGGGGAGGTGTCATTTTTCTCAAGGAGGGCCCGTCAGCTACCCATGCGAAGCATGCAGTTATTTTCATGAGTGGTGCTACTCCCACCGGCTGTGCTACTTCCCATTGGCTTTTCACTGATTTAATTTAGGGACCAGTGCTGTTAGAGAGCAGTGGGGTAAGTTTCAAGTTCCTTCTATTATTTCCCATAAGTTGGGAGGACCGTAAGTTTTCCGTAAGTGTCCTTTTTCCCAAAATATCATTTGAGTTTCTCTAGGGCTTATTAACTAAAGCGGTTTAGGCATGCATATGGACTAAAAAAGGACTGAAAAAGAGAGGTGCTAATTTGGGTGTTATTGGCTTGGTCCTGATTCTTGGGAAAGCTGTCCACACCAGCTGTCAGCTTCTTCTTATCCTGGTCACACTGATGCAGTTCCAGTCTTCGATCTGATGCTGTTTCCGGAGACCATTCTGGAGTAGGCGCCCTTTTTAAGTGAGAAGCATGGATCCAGGAGTCAACATCCAGCAATTTTATAGCACAAGAATTAGGAGGATTTGGAAAGGTGCTTTCCATTTGGACTGTAAGGACTTTCTCATTCAGTTGGTGATTTTTTCAGTATATATAGTCAGTTGATTTAGGGTCATGAGTCTGAATTTCTTCCTCTGTTGATACATTTGTGTTATGAATACCAATAACCAACCTTGAATGTTCCTTAGTAGCTTAGTTGTTTATAATAATGCAATGCATCCTCTTCTAATAACGTAGGCTCCTATAGCCCATCATCTCTTCTCCTGGGTCTGCTCATAATTTGTTTACTCTTTGGGTGGTTGCCCTTCCACAAGGAAATGTTGCAATCCAGTAAGAAAACATGCATTTGATAACAAGAACATCTATAACTCATTCTAAGTGGCAGTTGAATGAAGTCTAGCTGCAGGTGTTCACAAAGTACAGAAGGAGGAGGTCTGAGGCCTCTGGGACCAAGACAGCTTTCTTCAAAAGCATTAAGGTGAGTGGAGGAACGCAAAAACCAAAATAAGGAGTTTGCCAGGGGCCAGGGAAGGACCAGGAGGCCGTTTTAGATTTCCCAAAGCCCTGACTGTTCCTTTCATTTATAATTATTGTTTATTTATCATAATTTCTCTGATTTAGGAGGATGGCAAAGGCCTGGCAATGGGGGGGCCAGTATTTGCAGAAGTGGAATGCGCTTCATTCATGTGTGTCGTTATGTTTACAGATCCTCTTGTGAAATGGCCTTTGCATGAAAATCAGGGCATTTCCCTGATAGTCAGGTTTAATTCCTTTAGTGTGATCCTCAGTTTTAATGACAGCAATTTCAGAAGGTAAGAGAACAATTATAAATGATAACAGTGTATCAAGACATCTTAGATTTCTAGGAATTCACTAAAAAAGTTTCAAACATTTGGTCAAATAGGATCCTAGGTCATTGTGAAGCATATTTAGTTCTCTGTTTAATCAAATGCAAGATTTCATGGGCAAATATAAAAGCTTACATTTAGGTCTTTTAATAGAGAAAACTCAGTTTTTGTTTTTGTTTAGTATTCAAGGATTTGATGAAGACTATGTGAAGCACAGGAAACATTTTCCCAAGACACAGAGTCTTTGTCTCCCAAGATGACCCATATTAAAGGCAAACAAACTTTGTTTATATTTTCTTACTATGAGCAGAGGAATAGTTTAAGAAAATTTTGTCTTTTTAACAAAGAGAATACCGAATTCTAATCTTGCAGTGTATCAGTATACTTTTAAGAATAAAAATCTCCCCCCCTTTGTTAACTTAAATCTATTTCAACCTTGGACAGCTTGTCCACACATAAAATTCCTTTCATAAGACTCCTTTTCATGAACTTTTTGCACCTTGTTGTATCTGTTTGGGTCTTGTCCTTTTTTCCATTCTTACTCCAGAACAATCATTTTCCTCTAGAACAAACTTACTTTTTTCCTTCAATAAAAATGCATCTCCATTCCTCACATTGTTTTTTACAGACACTATACATCCTACTTTCCTTAACCCGTAAAAACTTTAATCGTGTTTTTCATTAAGCACCATAACATTTCCCTCTTCATTCTTATCATTTTCCCAGGCCTCCTCTTTCTTAGCTCTTAGCGTCCTAGCGGGGCTTTGTTAGAAGCGGTCAGATCTTCATCCATGGCTCATGTGCCCTTCTTGCTCCGCAGGACGATACGCTACGGTCTTCGACTTACCCTGCTTTCCCGCCTTGTCCGACAGCCCTCAAGCGGGTAGAGCAGGGGACCGCTCTGTGTCCTTTCCTGATCTCAGCTCTTTTCCAACTTTCTAACTCTTCGTCGTTTTTGCTTTTTTGTGAAATCTAGGAAGTAGGCGATTGGGAATTGTCTATCTTATGTTAGCATCCTGTAATAGAGTACAAACATATATATGTCTCAAAGTTTTTAGAAACATAATGCTTCTTCATAGCATACTATTTTAATAAAATGCAAAACACATTTACCAACAGAGCCAAATTCATCTTTAGTTTCTCTGTATAAGGAGACAAAAGTAGGTAACCTTAGGCTTGTTTAGTAATTAACACTTCAGCATTCTTATTTGGAAATGATCTAAATATTTAAAGAACTTCCATCCTTTAATTTAACCTAGTAAAATCCTAACAGTGAAAGTTACCAGAGATTTTGGGAAACTCTTTTAGTAGACATACCATAAAACATAAATATTGCTGAAAAGTTCACTTATATACTTTTATCTTACATCTGTTTGACTTGTTCTTGATTATATTGATTACCTATAAAATTTCCTGAGACATCAAATTCTGGCATTTTTCCAAGCTATTTTTTAGAATATTATGTAACAGAGATAACATCAACCTATTTGACTTTAAGTAAACCCAGGCAGAATAAAAGTTTTTATTTTAAATGCTGATGACTCTGAAGACATGTCTGTTTAATTAAGCCAATATCCTGCAATTAACTTTAATACCAAATATTTCCTCAAATCATATGAACTTGAAAAACATTTGGGTTAGTTTCTTTTATATTTCTGAGGTTTAGAATATTTAGTCCTGACAAGTGCTTACTTTTAAATCCATCAAATGAGCTTTTATAAATTGATTTTAGCAATACCATCCAGAAGTAGAAATACCATACATTTACAACACATGGACATAAAGATAGATGCAAACAGAGACTTTATATAGTTATTGCTGAAAGTCTTTTAGCCATGAGACAAGTATGATAATGCAAAATTCACTACTGTAGTTAGCTCCAAACTATTTTCTGGCAGATGAAATAAGTTAAGGCTACCTGTTAGGCTGGCTAAAGCTTCTTCTATTAATGCCTGTGGAGAAGACATTTAAGATTTGTATTTGTCCTTAGAAGCTGTGGGCTAGATTTTCAGGCAAGGGGCTTCTATAGCCATTTATATTTTTAAAAGGCTTCTTTTTCCATTTTTTTCTTCATTCTCAGGGGATTGTGGGCTGTGTTTACATTTCAAAGACATAAGATTTATGACACCAAAATACAGAGAGGGAATGCAAGTTTTTTTCTTTCCCTATCAGCTTTTTGTAACAAAACTTTTAATGAAGCTTTTTTTTTTTTTGCATTTTAAAGCCTTTGCTTTTAAGTGCATTCTTAAACTGATTTTATTTAATTGGAACGTTCTTCATAACGGCCATAGTTATTTTAGTTTGTAATTCCCCTGAAGATTTGGCACAGTTTGCTAGGACCCTAGCTGTAAATGGAGTTTAATCCATATTTGTGTTCAGCTATAAGGTCCCTAACCTAAAAGTGATTAAGTCAAATTCTCAGGACAAAATAAACTTAGTAAGATTTTGCTGCTTTTGCTACTCACAGCTTCTGGAACCACAGTGCTAGAAGGTAGCATGCTTGACTTCTTAAAATGTAAAGATTACTTTCCCCCTTTGGATGTTTCTAAGTAACAATCAAGATATGAATCTCATTCTGTTTTTTTAATCTTGTGGCCGGCTTTCTCTAATTGCACATGCCAGAACACTAGTTTGGGCAAATTGAAACAGAGTGAGATCTGCTTTTATTCTTCCCAGTATCTTACAATTGAGGTTTTCCTTATTATTCTTTGCAATTCCCTTTCTCGTCACTGACTACAGAAGAAACACCTCTCAGGGGGAGTGTGCAAACAAGTATTGAATAAACTCAAGGACAATCAACCAAAAACAGGAGGTCTGGGGCCCAGGGAAGACACCTGCCAGAGCTGGCACTCTGGGGAACTGGCTGCGCTCAGGGGGCCCTTGCCAGTACTAAGGCACAGAGTCCTCAAGGTGTTTCAGGGGCCTCAGTCTGTGCTGGGTCCCTTTGTGGTATCCAAGAATCATCAACTTAAATCAACATGGCTATCCTATCAAGAAAGATGGAGTTTATTCAGTCTTACCAAGGACCACGACCCAAAACCATTAATCAGAGAAAGACTGTTTTGCTGGCCTTTTGTCTAAGAACAGCTTATATACCTTTTACAACCGGGACTGCATCAATCGGCACGTCAGAGCCGTGTGTCACGGGTACATTTGTTCAGGGTCTTAAAAGAACAGATCATGCCCTTCGGTGCTGTCTGTGTGTGAGGGGAGGCAAGGCTTAGGGCTATTACACGTTCTCCTAAAGAATTATATCCAGGACGTGAGGACCAGGCTCCCATTCAGGTTTGCCCTCTTTGAGCACTCCAGGCAGTTTCTCTTCTTGGCCGTGGGTGAGGGGCTGCGGCAGTTTGGCTGACACAGGCGAGACTGGCTGTATGGTATCCACACAGCCCAGCATGGCATCCTGGCTGACTTGGGGCCTCTGCAGCCTGCACAGCTCTCCTTGCCTGTGGGACCACAGGGGGACCATAAAAAATTCATTTTATTTCATAAGGGTCACCTGGATATCTCAGGTGGGTATTCTCCTTCAGTGCCACCCAGCCTTGGAAAATTAGGACCTCAGTTCATGTAAGGGAGCCCTGGCTTCCAGACACTTTCACATGTTTCTTGAGGCTGTTCCGGTGCACCTCTTTAGAACTCTGGCCAGTTTCCCACAGTCCACTCAGGGGCAAGAGCAAAGACCAAGAGATAACTATAGGAACTAGGGGAAAGGCCTGTGTCTCAGATGCCAGCCACTCTGGGACATCGAAGGGACCATGAGTCCCTCATATGTTACTGTTAAATTTGAGAAGGCTGAACTCTAGAAATAAGCATAACATTTATGATAATGTAATTGAGCAGTTATAAAGTATCAAGACTTTCAAGCATGGATCTTTTAATTGAATCGTGGTAACTCTATGAGTGAATGTGGCACTGTCAAGATCTCCACCGTCCAGATGAAGACACAGAGGTTAGGGAAGTGATGAGGTCAACACAGCCTGGATTTTCACCTCTGACTCCAGAATCTCAATTGTTTTGTTAACAACGTCCTCTTTTAAACATCCTCAACTCTTTTCCTTCCTAACTTTCATCTTTCCTGTCCAAAGGGGGTAGGAGGTTTTTGGAGGCCTCTAGTCCTAACCCATTCAGCCCTGGGAGCTCAAGGGTTTCTCAGAGAACCCCTCCACCAACCATGGCCCTCTTGCTGGCCTCTTGAAGGAACAGATTCCTGAGAATTCTCTACACTTTCACTATTCAAAATGTGGTATATGGACTGGCAACATCATCATCTAGTACCTTGTTAGAATTGAAGATTAATGGACTCCACTCCACATCTGCTGAATCAGAACATCTGAGAGTTTTATCAGCCCTCTAGATGTTTTTTATGTCCTGTAGTGAGAACGACAGCTCCACACGGTCCCCATTGTTCCCTGCACCGGCGAGAGCACGCAAAGCTTGCTTCTGCCTTTAGTGCTCAGACCGCGCAGACGCCTGACAACTCACCTTCCCCGACAACACACGCCCCGCTTCTGAAACTACAATTCCCACAATGCCCAAAGGGGCTTAGCGTCACCTTAGGTGACTATTTCCCGCGGGGTTCCAGGAGCCGGACCACACCCGTCCCGACCGCACCAGGACTACAATTCCCACAGTGCTCCACGGCAGAACCGCCGCCGCCGCGGCTCCGGTAGGAGCCACGTCGGCTCCGCTGGGTGAGGCCGGGCCCGTGCCGGGCTATCGGAGTCTGCAGGGCCCGGGCTTGTTACAGCGGTTCTGCCCCTCAGAACGCGGACATGGCGGCCGAGAAGGACCATCAGAAGGATGTCGAGGCGGAAGGGCTGAGCGCCACGTAAGCAAGCCGGCTCTGGCACCACCTGACCGCGACCCAGGCGTCCTGGCGCCCCCACCCCCCACCCAACCCCTGGCCCCCTTCTCCCTCGGGTCCCAGGAATCCGGGCCTTCAGGCACGAATCCAGGCGCCTGGCCTCTTCGAGGACTCTGGAGTCTGGGCCCTCAGTCCTCTTCTCCCCTAGGATACAGGAGTCCTGAACCTTTTCCCCAGGACTCCGGACATCAGTCCCCCTCGGCCCGCTTCTTGCTCGGGGTCCGGGCTCCATCCCGGTCTACCGCTGACCCAGCCCCACCCACCAGGACCCTGCTGCCGAAACTGATCCCTTCCGGCGCCGGCCGTGAGTGGCTGGAGAGGCGCCGCGCGACCATCCGGCCTTGGGGCTCCTTCGTGGACCAGCGGCGCTTCTCGCGGCCTCGCAACCTCGGCGAGCTGTGCCAGCGCCTCGTACGCAATGTGGAGTTCTACCAGAGCAACTATGTGTTCGTGTTCCTGGGCCTCATCCTGTACTGTGTGTGAGTGCCTCTCCTGCCCTGCCGCGCCCTCGCCCCCACGGAAGAGCCCCCCGAACAGCTGGGCCCCGCCCCCGTGGGGTGGCTCTGCCAGACCTTTTCACCAAGCGGCCAGGTCCCTACACTCGTATCAGCCTTGCCACGATACAGTGTGACCAGATGTGACCTGGAATTGCTTGGTCTCAAGGACATAGCCTGCCAGCTGCTGGTGTAGAGGTCAGGGTCCCGATGGCTGGCCCAATACCAGCTGCCTGACCAATGATTTCCTGCCCTTAACCAGGGTGACGTCCCCCATGCTGCTGGTGGCTCTGGCTGTCTTCTTCGGCGCCTGTTACATCCTCTATCTGCGCACGCTGCAGTCCAAGTTTGTGCTGTTTGGTGAGAAATCCCCTGTCCAGACAGGGTCTGATCCTTCAAATCCTGGTCTTTTGGAACACAAGCCTTAGACCCCAAACCCAAGTTTGCCCAAGCCTAGATCTATGCTAGATGCCCCAAACTCAGTCCATTAAAATCTCAGACACACCAAATGCTCCTATCTAGACTCAGCCCTCTCAAATTGTTATTGCTCGAATGTCGTGTGAAATACTCCAGATCCACTCTCCCGTGCCTTAAACCTCTTCCCTCCCCCCTCCCTAACCTCTGGAGAAAGTATCAGCTGCAGGTACCCACATTGGACGCCAGGTGGCACCCTTACTCTGGCCTAGATCTCCTTTTCCTGCTTCCTGGGTGGAAGATCCTTGGACTTCTCAGAGCAGCAGGAAGCTGAGGCTTGTGGTTTATGTGGGCCTAGACTGGTGCCAAACACCACTGGGAAAAAAGGGGGGCCTGAGTCCCCACCTAGGGGAAGCTCTAGGTTTGGAGTGAGATCAGACAAACAGGTAGACTTAAGACAGAGTCCTTCAGGGGCCTGTGAGTTATGTATAGGATCAGGGTGGCTGGGGTACATCAGGCACACAGAGGGCATGGAGGGGGTGCCTGGAGCACAGCCACAACTTGGCTTCAGCCACTGCTGCCACCAGGGCATGCCACTGGGCGATGTTCCAGTTCTGCTACCCAAGAAGCCAAAAGTCTGTATCATTATGTGAAATCACTCAGTTTCTCTTGTCCACCACAATTTAAATTCTTGGAGAACAATGTGCAGGCTCAAAACCCACATCTGCGATCAGACTTGGCCCTTGGGCCACCAGTTGGTGACTCCTCATCTCCTGGTCTTTGTGTGCAGGTTGGAGCAGGAGAGCCTTAGTCTGGGGGAGTGGGAGGCTGGGAGCTTCCTAGTAGAAGGCAGGTTGCAGGGTGGGGGGTTAGTGTTTGAGGAAGGTGTTCGGTATTCTGGTGGACACTGGGCATGTCAGAGAAATGGATGGGGGCAGGAGGTGGAGCATCTTGGCGTGGGAGTTTGGATGATTCTGAGGCTCCCAGAGTGTGTGATACCAGATGCTGAGGGGCATCTGGGATTACTGGGGGAGAGGGCACCTAGTGTGGGAGCAGCTACTGCAATGCCATCTGCCCTCCAGGCCGAGAGGTGAGCCCAGCCCATCAGTACGCTCTGGCTGGGGGAGTCTCCTTTCCCTTCTTCTGGCTGGCTGGTGCGGGCTCGGCCGTCTTCTGGGTCCTGGGTGAGTACAGGGGCTGTGGGGGTGGGGTGGGTGGTGCAGCCAGGTGAGGGCATGAGGCCCTGAACTACCTGCTTTCCTTCAGGAGCCACCCTTGTGGTCATTGGCTCGCATGCCGCCTTCCACCAGATCGAGGCTGTGGACGGGGAAGAACTGCAGATGGAGCCCGTGTAAGGACCTGCCAGCCTCCGAGCCAGTTGCCCCACGCCTGTCCACTCCATGCTGCTCTGCGGCTCTGGCCAAGTCCTCCTTCCCATCACAAGCCCAGGAAGGAACTCCAGCTTTGGGAATAAAGCTGTTACAGTTGTCAATCAGCAAAATTCTCCCAGGATCTTCTGTGGGTCTGTGCGCATTGAGGCTGGGGCACTGCAGAGACCGAGACGGGGGCCGGGCTGGTGGGGAGGCAATAAGCAAGATGAATAACTCAAATACGATAAGATGGCAAATGGTGGCTTAAGTGCTAAGAAGAAAGAGTAGGGAAGGGAGAGTGTGCCCGGGGTCCACCACATCACCCCTGTGTTTGATGATTTCATAGTTGTACCCCTGTCATTTATTATCATACGAAGCAAAATCACACAAGGACACAAAGCATAATCAGGGAAAAGTCACACAGGACGAGTCCAGAGGAAGCCAGTGCAAACTTCCCCGCGTCCTCATGGTGCAGTCACACAGGACAGCTCAGTTCCTCCAGCAACAAAGGAGACAGCACATGTGAAACGTGTGCCGGGCAGCTCATGAGAGGCTCAGTGCCCAGGCTTTGTATCCGGGGTAGCACAGAAAACCCTCTGTCTAGCATGTACTGAAATTCTGGGCTCCTGGAAGGAAAGAAGGGCTTCAGCAGAAATACCATTTTCACAGGTACTCTTAATAAGTGGGGAGTGGCGAGAACCCTGCTGAAATCCAAGTCCCCAGACACCAGCCGAGGGCCAGCCAGGGAAGTGGGCCCAAGGACAGCAGGCTCAGGCCTACTGGGTTAACTTATCTACCTAAAGCAGGTTCTGGGGATGAGTCACAGGTTAAAGACCTCCCTGAGGTGACATTAGTGGAGACCTAAACTGAGTGAGGGAGCAGCTGTTCTGTGCAGAGTGTCCGAGACGGCATGCCTGGAGGTTTGAGGAACAGCAAGGAGCCCAGGAGGCTGGCGTAGATGAGCCTGGGGCAAGTGGGAGACTGGCAGCTTTGGCTTTACTTTGAGTGAGGTGACAGTGACACAATTGGCCTTTCGTTATAATATGAAGACTGCCAGTGGGGATGGTGATGAAAGAGAAACAGCTGGCAGGGAAAGTACTAGGCACCTATGGCAACAGAGTGAGGTGACAGGCCTTGGGAAGCTACTGCAGATGGGGCTGGTCAGGGACGGCTGTCTGAGGAGACCACATTTCAGCGAGCCCTGAGGGACACGGAGCCAGCCACAGGAAAAGCTGCAGCTCGGGGGGCCTAAGCAGAGGCATGGCACCACCCAGGCCTTACAATGCCATCTCCCAACCTCTCTGACTGTATATGTCATTACCAAAACTCACCTGTTCACCATTTGTTCAGAAAGGGTTTTATCCAAAGCCCCCACTGAGTACACAGCATTGTTCTGGGATCCTGTCCCCTATGGTGGCTGCCAGCCACATGTGGCTACTGAGCACTTGATACATGATTTCAAAGACTTAGTAGAAAAAGAGTGTAAAATGTCTAATAATTTTTCGTATTGGTTATGTGTTAGAAGGACAGTATGTTTGATATACTAGGTTAAATGATTTTCATATTTCTCTTTAGTTTTTAAAATGAGATTAAATAGAAAATATGAGGTTACATCTGTGGCTCTTACTCTGTTTCTACGGGACATGATGGCTGAGGAAACAGCAACGCCACAAACAGAGGAGAGGAGGCCCTGCCCTCCCGGAGCTCACCATCAGTGGGTGAGGCGTGTGAAACACAAGCCAAACAACCAACAGACAGGAAACTCTCAGTGATAAGCCTCTGAAGCCAATAACATGGGACTGGGTGAGGCTAGAGAGTAGCTGAGAAGGGCAGGGGCTCTGAGTGGTGAGGCAGGGCCTTGCTGGGCAGTGAAGAGGAGACTGCCCCTTGGAGGTCTAGGGGAAGAGTATTCCAGCCAGACAGAACAGCAGGTGCAAAGGTCCTGAGGTCACGCGTGCTCAGTGACAAGGCAGCGCTGACAGCTGGGTGAAGGGAGTGAGGGAAAACAGTCATGGGATTTGATGGGGAGGATGCTGGGGGCCAGATCACGCAGCACCTGCATGCCCTGGGGAGGCTTTGGATTTTAGCTTTAGGCAGTGCGGAACTGAAGAAGCGTTTTGAGCAGAGGAGAGACAGGGTCAGGTGTGGAGGTTAGAAATTTGCCTTTGGGGTCGTGTGGGGGATACGATGGAGGGAGTGGGACTGGGGAGGATGAGCCATTCTGGGGAAGATGAGCCAGGGACATGGAATGGAGAGGAGGGACAGAGAAAACGGATTCAGGAGGAGGAGGGCCTGGGCTTGGTGACTGACCTGCAGGGCTGCGGAGTGGGAGGGG